TGCTGGCGTCTGACACCAGAGGGGCAACAGTCTCCCTCCTGGAGCCTCAGTGGGTAGAAAGCATCATCACAAACTCTGCGGGGGAGAAGGGGCAGGGCTTGAGCCAGTCCAGGTCAGCCATGCCAGGAGGCACTGAGCTCAGCCTGGGAGCCGGAGGGATGGGCGTTTGTCTAGGTAGGAGACTCACCATCAAAGTCTACGGTGCCGTCCCCATTGAGGTCCACTTCTCGGAGCATCTCGTCCAGCTCAGGACCCACCAGTGGCTCCCCAAGCAGAGCCGGTGCTGCCTGTCGCAGCTCTGCCACCGTGATTCGCCCATCCCTGTCCCTGTCAAACTGGGATTCCAGCAGGGCTCAGCCCTTCCTACCCAAAGCTTCCTCTGCCTGAACCCACCTCCACCTTGCCACATCCTGTGCCTGGACGCCCACACCTTCATCCGTCCACACACTCCTCCTTCCAGGCTGAGGCCGTGAGCTCCCTGCCCCAGGAGGGCTCCCTGCCCCAGGAGGGCTCCCTGCCCCAGGAGGGCTCCCTGGGTGGACCCCCAGCTGAGAGTGAGCCAAACCCTCTCAGACCCCTCCCCAGCCCTAGTCCCACCAGCTGCAGGGCTCGGGGCCTCCAGAGGCTGAGGCTCCCAGTCTCCCCTGGCCTCCTGGGGGGAAGCCAGTAAGGATGCCGCCCAGCCACCCACCCACCGCCCATCTGGACGCTCCACACCTCGCGGAAGGCGATGCGCAGCTCCCGCACCCCCAGCATGTGCGCCGTCTCCTCCCTCAGCTTCGGGCCCATCATCTCCACAAACTCCTCGAAGTCCACACGGCCACCCACTGCGGACCCAGGCAGAGGGTCACAGTGGTGAGGGCTGGGGCCCGAGGAGGGGCGTCACAAGGGCCAGCCCCTCCCTGGCTCTGCATCCAGGAAGGACACTGGTGTCCACGCCCCTGGGCGGGGCGGGGCGTGGGGGTAGGAGGCTACGGAGACGGGGGGGTCGTCCCAGTGGCTGGGGGGGGGGGGGGGGGGCGGGGGACAGTGCTCAGGTGTTCTCAGTGAAGCACCGGGTGTGGGGGAAAGAGAGCAAGCTGAGGAACCAGACAGGCCCCAGGTTCAAAGCCTCCTGGCTCTGCCACTGATGGTGTGGCCTTGGGTGACTTACTGAGCCTCCCTCCTCATCCGGGGACAGGGTGCTGATGGGGCTGGGGTTCATGACTGTAAAGTGCCAGAACCCCACGGGCGGCAGCAAAGACCCCTAAGGAGTATCCCCAGGTTGGCCCTGGATTCTAAGGTGCCGTCAATCATAAAGAGCACCAATGGTCAACTACCAGCTTTGGGGAGAAGCAAGAAGCATGACACGAAAATATTCAGGTCAGTTGTAAATCACATCCCATTTTGGAAACTGTAAAGAAAAAGCAAATGCAGGAGTCCTGGGATGAAAGGAATCTGATATTTGACAGATTGGCTAATGATAATCACACAAGGGCAGCCCATCAGACATTTAATCGCAAGGCGTGGCCAGGGTTCTGTCACGCTCGGCCTCACAGAACCTCGGGAGGTTCTCTTCAGGAGCCTCGGGAGGGTCAGAGAGAGAGAGAGAGAGACAGCCCTGGTGGCTGGTACCAGCACGGACCACTTTACCTCAGTCAGAGACGGGGGTCCTTGACCTGAGCCCCAAGGGGCTCTCTTGGGTCACCCGGTGCCTTCCTTGTCACCCTCGACCCCTGTGCCCCCGGGGGCCAATGTCAAACTGTCCTGGAAGCTGTCACCCCCTCACGCCACCGTCACCGGGGCCTCACCCCACAGCCGCCTCCCACCACCTCTCGTTCCCCTGAACCACGAGGCCGGGAGAGGACCCAGGTTGCAAAGCCAGGTGGCTCGGCCGCCCTGCCCCGCCCCGCCCCCAGGCAGGTGTGGTCAAGCACTGACTTCGCATCTTGACATGCTGGGAGACCTCGATGAGCTCCATCTCCGTGGGCATGTAGCCCAGTGTCCGCATGCACTCGCCCAGGTCCCGGTAGCCAATGTAACCATCGCGGTCCGTGTCAAACTCCTCGAAGGCAGCCTGAAGCTCTGCAGGGGAGGGAGGTCAGGCACAGGCAGCCAGGCTCTGGGGCGCCTCCCACCTGCCGTTGCCAACATGGGCCACTCACCATCCAGCTCCTCGGGGCCCAGCTCGCGGTCCTGTAGGGGCACAGTCCAGCATGTCCCTGGGGCCGGTCAGGGCTCTGGCCGCCCTTCCTCCTCCAGCCCCAGCCCACGCTGGCCTGGGCAGGGCCCATCCCACAAGGGCAGGAGTAGGTAGCTGAAGTCCCGTGGGCCCCAGGAGAAGAGATGACCCCCTTCCTGCTCCTGGGGCCCCACGCTGCCACAGATCCCTGGGTTTGGGGTCTATCTCCGCCCACTGCCCAGGCCACCCTCAAACTGCAGAAACTCTACCCCCTCAGCCCAGGCTCCTGAGTCTGGAGCAGAAACTGGAGGAGGCCCGAGTATAAGGGGCAGGGTGGGCTGAGCCTGAGCCCATGAGTCCCCAACCTCACCCCCAGGCCCCCCAGCCCTGCCCCAGCCCCACCTGACCTTCCCAAAGATGCGGTTGAGCAGGGGCCCGTATGTCCTCTGAGCAGGATCGTGCCGGGGGACAGGACGATGCCGGTGGGACAGGCGACGAGAGGCTGGCCCCTCCTGCCCGTCTCCAGTCCTGGAGGGGTCCTTGCTGCCCTCCAGGGCCTTGGGGCCCTGCGTGAGGGTCTGCTCCCCAGAGCTGCCAGTGCCCTTCCGGGACCCTCGGAGCCCCTTCGCCCTCTTGCTGCTTTTCCTCCTGGTCAAGGGGAGCCTCTCAGCACCACTACTGGAAGCCATGACCCCCACAGGGGGTTTCTGGGGTCCGGGGGGCGGGTCTGGGCCATGCTGCCCCCTCACCTTCTCTGTGGCCATGCAGAGCACCCCTGCCTCTCCGGGCCTATAAAGCTGCTTATGCGCCCCCAGCCTGAGAGCTGATGGCCAGGGATCGGGCCCTGAGGGGGATTAGGGTAAGTGAGGCAGGCAGCCCAGGCGCTAATCCCAGCCCTCTGCCTGGGGGTGGCCAAGGCAGAGCCAGATGGGTCAGGGGGACCATCCTCAGCAGCACAGCGTGCCAGGACATGTTGGCTGCAGTGAGCTTTGGACGCCAGCTCTGCGGCTTATGAGCTGGGAGACCCGGCAAACTCACTTCTCTAAGCCTCAGTTGCCTCATCTATAAAACGGAGGCAATATCGCTGAAGTGTCAAAGACAGCCCAGTTGTATGAGATAGGCAGGATTTAGCTAAGAGGACACAGAGAGGCATCTCAAGCAGGAGGAAGAGTGTGGGCAAAGGTTGGGAGGTGGGAAAGGAGAGGATGAGTTGCCCACCGCGGCCCCCACGTGGGCGACATCCTGGCCGGAGCAGAGGGTATGTGAAATTCAGGAAGAGAGGCCAGACCAGAGAGGCCTTGAATCACAGATGATTGAGGGTGACCTCGGAGGAGGTGGACCCTGGGGGAACCCAGAGCCTGCCCTGAGCTGGAGGGGCCCAGGGCGAGGGGTTTCAGCCATCTGGCCCTGTCAGGAATAGGGGGGCCTGGCTGGTCACTTGGCCTTACTGGGCCGGGGTTAGGGTTTCCCGGCGAGCAGCCCCATGAATGATTGATGTCCTCCCAGCTTGGGTTTCACACCGGCCGCCTTAGTGCCGCCGGGAGCCATGCATCAGGCCCCGGCGTGGGGCCGTGTGGACGGCCGGACCTCTGGGCAGGCAGGCACGCCCTGCTCCTTCCAGCCAGCAGCCTGCACCTTACAGGTAAGCCAGGCCTCACCAGCCGGGCCCAAGGGGAGCCCAGGGCTCTGATCCAGTAGGGGCTGGAACTTGCAGAGTGGGGTCTGCCTGAGTAAGGGCCCTGGAGGTGGGGAGACAAGCAGGCTAAAAGGTCAAGTGGCTGGAGCCATGGGCCACGTGGCAGGATCCAGTCTTTCCTGGACATCTAGTTTCTCCACCCTCAGAGGGAACCGCCCTCCCCCATCTAGGGGAGGTTGGGTGAGGGTGGCGAGCCTCTTGGGACCCAGCCATCCTCATTCTCATCACACGGCTGAGTCCCCTGCCCCCTTTTCTATTTAGTAGCCTCAGGGGACAAGTGGGGGCCACTCTCTGCCCCAGACTCCCTGTCCCCCCTTGGATTCCTATGGGCCCAGGGGACCTGAGCCCTTCCTTCTTGGAATCTTTTTTCTTTTTTTGGCCACACCACAAGGCATGCGGGATCTTAGTTCCCCGACCAGGGATGGAACCCGTGCCCCCTGCAGTGGATTCTTAACCACTGGACCGCCAGGGGAGTCCGAATCTTAAACATTTGAACCCAGGATACTGACTAAAAGGAGGCTGTGATGCTCTGACCAAGTGGGTCTTTTTGTTTTGTTTTGGTTCGTTTTTTGGGCCACGCCACATGGCTTGAGGGATCTTAATTCCCCAACCAGGGATGAAAACGGGGCCCATGGCAGTGAAAGTGCGGAGTCCTAACTACTGGACTGCCAGAGAATTCCCAAGTGGTTTTTAGACTGTGTTCCCTGGAGCCCTAAGAGTGCTCTCCCTCCGTTATCCTGAGCACACAGTTTTAGTTCACATAGGAGTTCTGCTATAATATTTTAACTGAAACATATCTGAAAGCCTCTGGTTTGGTCTGCTTGGACGCGGTGAGAATTCCGTGCAGCAGAATGGTTAGAGTCCTGGTGCCCACATTCCCACCTCTGCCATTGGGCAAGTCACCGGATCCTCTGAACCTTCCTCTCCTTACATGTAGAATGGATTGTATGAGGACTAGGTGAGGTCATCTGTTTAAAGTCCCTGGCAAAGGTCAACTACCCCAAAGGTGATGATGATGGCCCAGAGAGGGACAGCGGCTTGCGGGGAGATGCACAGCATCCTCTCTCTTCTTTTCAGTCATTCGTGCCTTCATTGATTCACCAGGCACCCACTCCACGTCTAGTGGGACACTGGGGACCTCAGATGGACACTGCTATGGAAGTCAACCTGGGTGCCGCTGGCCACGGGCCCCGCACAGAGCTCGACGATGAGGACTACCCCCAGGGTGGCTGGGACACGGTCTTCCTGGTGGCCCTGCTGCTCCTGGGGCTGCCAGCCAACGGGCTCATGGCATGGCTGGCCGGCTCGCAGGCCCGGCAGGGAGCGGGCACGCGGCTCGCCCTGCTTCTGCTCAGCCTGGCCCTCTCTGACTTTTTGTTCCTGGCGGCAGCAGCCTTCCAGATCCTGGAGATCCAGCATGGAGGGCACTGGCCACTGGGGACGGCCGCCTGCCGCTTCTATTACTTCCTGTGGGGTGTGTCAGCCCTCAGCCTGGACCGCTGCCTGCTTGCGCTGTGCCCTCGCTGGTACCCCGGGCACCGCCCAGCCCGCCTGCCCCTCTGGGTCTGTGCCGGGGTCTGGGTGCTGGCCACCCTCTTCAGTGTGCCCTGGCTGGTCTTCCCCGAGGCCGCCGTCTGGTGGTACGACCTGGTCATCTGCCTGGATTTCTGGGACAGCGAGGAGCTGCCGCTGCGGATGCTCGAGATCCTGGGAGGCTTCCTGCCTTTCCTCCTGCTGCTCGTCTGCCACGTGCTCACGCAGGCTGCCACCTGCAGAACCTGCCGCCGCCAGCCCGGCTCCACGGCCTGCCGAGGCTTTGCCCGCGTGGCCAAGACCATTTTGTCAGCCTATGTGGTCCTAAGGCTGCCCTACCAGCTGGCGCAGCTGCTGTACCTGGCCTTCCTGTGGGACATCTACCCCGGCTACCTGCTCTGGGAGGCCCTGGTCTACTCTGACTACCTGATCCTTGTCGACAGCTGCCTCAGCCCCTTCCTCTGCCTCCTGGCCAGCGCCGACCTCCGGGCCCTGCTGCGCACCGTGCTCTCTTCCTTCGCCGTGGCTCTCTGCGAGGAGCGGCCGGGCGGCTTCACTCCGGCTGAGCCACAGACCCAAGCGGCCACTGGGGGTCAGACTCTACCAGGGCCAGTGGCCGAGGCCCAGCCACAGGTGAACCCCACAGCCCAGCCACTGTTGGAGTCCGCGGCCCAGCCACAGTCAGACTCTCTGGTCCAGCCTCAGCTGAACCCCAGGGCCCAGCCCCAGGAGAACCACGAGGCCCAGCCCCAGCTGGATGCTGGGGCCCAGCCACAGGCAAGCCCTGAGGCCCAGCCCCCTGGAGCCCCGGCCAGCTCAGCCCCCAGCCCCTGTGACGAAGCCTCCTCTGCCCCCTCCACGGATTCCACCCCAGATGCCCCTGTGAACCCGGCCGAACCTGCTGCCTCTGAGGGAGAAAGCCCCAGCAGCGCCCCCCAGGAGGAGGCCCCGGGTGCAGGCCCCACGTGAGAGTCGGGGAAAGCCAGGGCCGCCAGGGCAGCAGAAGAGCTGGGGAGACAGAGGAACCAGTCTGTCAGAGGACAACGGCTACCGTGGAGGAAGTCCTCATGGAAAACCCCAGCGAGTCCCTTGGCCTGGCAGACGGACTGGGGCGACGTGAACACGAAGCAGCCAAAAGCCCCGGACAGTCTGTTGTGAGCGTCATGTCCCTGCCGGATCCCAGCAAGCTCCTCCGTGCTTGGCCCACACATGGTGGTCCAACAGTCCCCTGAGCTACCACAGCTGATGGTGCCCTGCCGGGCTCTGCCCTCTGATGCCCCCCAAACCCCACGGACAGTCTCCCCTTAACCTCGGTCCTGCAGGACAAAGACTGGTAGGGTGACTTCTCCGGGCTTGATCTGACCTCCCCTGATCCTTCCTTCCCTGCCCCCTTCCTGTCCCAACCTCTAACCTGGATACGAGGAGCCGAAGAGGAAGTCCCTGCAGAGAAGGGAGCCATTCATCAGGAGCCCAGGGTCTTAGGAGCCCACAAGCTGGCCTGGCACGGCCAAACCCTCTCTGCCAGCCCCCTGCACCCAACAGGCAGTGGGGCTGGGGCAGGACTTCCCTCAGCAAGGTGGTGGACGCAGAGGCGAGAGCTAGCAAGCCTGGATTCAAATCCGGCGCTGGGTGACTCTGGACAAGCTGATTCACCCTCTGAGCTCCTGTTTCATCTGGCATTGTGAGGATTAAATGAGAAAGTGTGTGAGGTGCCTGGCAGGAACTGGCACACAGTAGGGGCTCAGTGAACAGGTGCTCTTCCTTCACGGACATCCAGGGATGTCCCTGCAGGGGCTGGGGATGGATTAGAGGAGGTGCCACCTGGCCTGAGCATCTGGGATCCTGTGAACCTCGGGGCAGATCATGGTGCCCATGACCAGCTCCGGGCTGCAGACATCCAGGTGGCCTGAGAGAGCATGGGCCCACCTCCGTGCCTCGGGCAGCTCCAGGGGACTTCAGGTTCTGCTGCGTTTAAGGGTTCGAGTGATCACCTGCCCATCCCCCACCATGGAGGAGGTACAGAGTGCCCTTGTCCTGCCTCAGCCTGAGCCCCTTCTATACACTTAGCCCAGATGAGAGATGGGAAGATGTCCAAGCAGAGAACTCTGGGGACCAGTGGCTCCAGAGATAGCACAGGCTCCTTGGAGGTCACACGGTGTCTCTAGGGCAGATCCAACCTCCTCCCTCTTAAGCTGCAGACACTGCTAGAAAAACTAGGAAGTGCTGAAGGTCTGTTTTCAGACCCCCCACGCCACTTCCTTTTCATACACATCACTCTCTACTGGCACTCACCCCACCCAGTCCCCAGGGTTCCAAAATCATGAACCCTTTCCCCTTTCACCCCCCGCCCCCCCTACCCTTTCCCATTAGCTCAGCGTTGTGACCTTTAGAAGCTGAGAGATGTCCTTACCAGTAGGTGTAAATGACAACGACACTTTACGTGCTACCCTTCCAAGGGGTGCTTGCTGTATAGGCAGACTGAAGTGGTGCAGTCAGATTTGGATTCTGGTTCCCAGGTCTCTCTTTGCCTCAGTTTTCTCCTCTGTAAAATGGGGTGATAACATTCCCTTTGCAAGTGTGGCTTTTGTGATCATTAACCAAACCCGGGGATGGAAGCATGCTGTGTGGTGGTGTTGCTGATACCAGCAGCATAATCATAGCATTTCCTGCGATTGTGGGCACCGAGGCTGGTGGGAGAGATTTCTGGACAGGCACAAATTTGTTGAATTCATTCATTCAGCAAATATTTATTGAGCACTTGTTAGGTGCTTTTTCAGCCAGCCTTCCATTTTGAGTGGGGTTAGCACATGGTCTCTAGTGCCCCTCAGAGGTTGTTTGAATCCTGGTTCTCCACAGCTCACCAGCTGTGTGATCTTCAACAAGGCTCTTGGCCTCTTTGAGACTCAGTTTCCTCATCTGTAAAATGGGGATCATAATCATGGTTCCATTTTCTAAGAGTGTTAATCCCTGTCAAGTGCTCAGATCCTTGCCTGGCACACAGTGCTTAATAATTGTTAGCCACTAATTCAATTATGCCAGTGGACACCCCCAGGTCTCACTCAGGCCTGGGACAGCACTGACCCCCCCAGAGCCCACGTGGCAGCATCCTGCCCACCAGGCATTGCCCCTCCCCACCCCGCCCCAACACACAGCCTCCTCCTCCACTTTCCAAATGCTTTCACACTCCCCACCCCATTGGACCGCACACCTCCTGAGGGCAGGGTCTGGACTGATGTCCCCCTTGCAGAGTGCCCCTCTTCCTTCTCCCAGGTAGGGATCCCGAAGCTTTTTCACATGGCAGGCAGATCAGGGACTAAATCCTCAGTGCCAGCCACCTGCCTTCAACTCTGGTCCATACTCCTAACCCCACCTCCTGGGGGACCTCCCTGGTGGTCCAGTGGTTAAGACTCTGCGCTTCCACTGCAGGGGGTGTGGGTTCCACCCCTGGTTGGGGGACTAAGATCCCACATGCCACGCCGTGTGTGGCCAAAAGAAAAAAAAAATGCTACTAACCCTACTTATTGGAGAGTGGGCCAGCCCCACCTCTAAGGTCCCAGAAGGGAACCCCACTCATAATGGGTACTTGCCATCCAGGAGAAAGAGCAGTGCCATGAAGGGTTTTGTGAGATAAAGAGGAGTTCTCCTTCCGGCCCACAGAGGAGGGTTTTGTATCGGAGGAAACATGCACACCCAAGGCCAGAGAGGATGAAGGGAGGGCTTACCCCCCACATTCCACAGCCCCTCCCCTCACCCCTAACACACTCCATGGGGCTGGGCTCCTCTTACCCTCTGGAAGATTCATCCCTTCCACAGGTGAGAGACACACTTCCCTCTCCTTCATAGGCACCAGACATCGAGAGCTGTGAATATGAACATTTTTCAATTCCACATTCAGGGCTGCTGTTCATTTATTCATTCAGTATACATTAATTGAACACATACTGTATGCTAGGTCTTGTTCTAGGAACTGGGGATACGGTGGGAAACAAGGCAAAGTGCAATCCTCAATTTGCGGACGTCCTAGCGGGACAAGGCAGACAAAAAGCAAATACACAAATAATTAGGGAATTCCCTGGTGGTCCAATGGTTAGGGCTCTGAGGTGTCACTCCTGAGGGCACAGGTTCGATCCCTGGTTAGGGAACTAAGATCCCACAAGCTGTGCAGTGCGGCCAAAAATAAAAAATAAAGCGAATACACAAAATAATTATACAATATAACATGAGGTAGTGATTAAGAACGTACAGGGGGAACAAGTAAGGGCCAGAGAGTGATGGGTAAGGGGGATGGTCAGGGAGGGCCCCCAGAGGAGGTGACATTTGAGCAGAGACCTGGAGGAAGTGAGGGATGGAGCCTTTTCAAGATCTGGGGGAAGCGCTTCCAGATGGAGGGAACAGGATGTGCCAAAGCCCTGGGGTGGGAAGGGAGGTGGTGTATTTCAGGGATAAGGAGGGTCAGTGTCACTGGGCCACATACAGAGAGGATGGAGGAAGGTAACGGGGTGGGGGGGGGGAGAAGGAAATGACGGTGGGTCATTGATGTGATGAAGGGCAAAGGGAGAGTGTTCAGGGTAGGGGATCTGGTGTGGGCATTAGACAGACCCCTGGCTGTTGCCTGGGGGACACAACAGAGAGGGAAGCTTTGTGGCTGCATTTCCTCTTCCAAACCACCCACATTCTGGTCCTGGGCTGGAAGGATTGGCCTGTCCTAGGGGTTATGGAGCAGTGGGAAAAGCAAGGACTTTGGAGTCAAACAGAATGCCAGATTGGAGGGGGCACATTCTGCCTGTGGGACCTACAGGGACACCTAAGCCTGCCAGGGTGGGATGGGGATGGGGTAGATCCAGGAGGCCAGCCTGTCTCAGGAGCTGGCCAGGAGGAGGGAGACATCTGTGGACAGACCTCCAGGCCTCGGTGGGAGATGGTTGAGGAAAGCAAGGAAAGTCTGGAGGTCATGGCCCTATTCCTCTTTTTAATAAGGAGGCCAGGCAGGACCCAAAGGTGTCCACCGGGGAGAATGAGAGGGCTGGGCCTTCCACTCGCCCCCTAAAACATCACTGTTTTATTTACATTGTACCAAGAGCACGTACCTTTGTAACTTGAGGCACGTGAATATATCGCCTGTCCGAGTAGATACTATATTTCGAGTCGAGGTGAACTCGACCGGGAAGTATGCATTGAGGCGGGGGATTGGGAGGGCGGGCTCCACCCAAACCTGGCGACTCCTGAGGACGCGGACAGGAGGAGCAAGATGGGGAAGGGGTCCGGGTCTGCCACCAGGCTGCCGGACTACGGCCCCATCCCCATCCCGGCCCCTGCCCCTTTGCCCTGAGGGACCTGGGGGTCTGCGGGGCGGAGCTCTCTCAGGTCCCGCCCAGCCCCGCCCCTGAGCCCCGTGAGGCCCTGAGCCCCGTGAGGCCCCGACCCCGCACTCCTCAGGCTCCGGCCTGCCAGGCTACGGCTCACAGCCTCCCGCCCCGCCCCTCCGCGCGAGACCTCGGCCCCGCCCCCCGCCCCTCTCTCCTCTGTCACTTCCTGATTCCCGCTTCCTGCTTCCCAGAGACTGGGATACGGAGCCACCCGAGGACAGTGCAGCAGCCTCCCGGCGTCCCCGGTGAGCGCGACGGGCCGGGGCTGGGGGCGCAGGCGGGGGGTTGGGCGGAACTTCGGGGGCAGAGCCGCAGGGGGCTGGGGTGGGCGTCGCGAGTCCGAGGAGCCCTTCCCCTCCGCGGCGCCTCACCCTCAGTCCCAACTCCCCCTGGCCGCTCAGCGTCTCCCCTGCCAGACCGGGATCCTTGAAGTTGGGCTCCTGCTTCACCTTGGACCCCCGCTCTGAGGGCGCTCTGGGATGCTCTGTGGCTGGGAGCGGCGTCCCGACCCCCGCCCAGTCCTGCCAGGCCCCCTGGACCGGCTTGGGGCTCCCTGCACATTCCGTGGGACCCAGAACTGTGGCCTAGCGCGGACCCACAACG